TGGTCTATATGGTGTATATGATATAATCATACGTGTATTGGTAATCATATATGTATACGTGTGTAGCTATCTGAAAATGAGAAAACATAGGAACATACAGATCTAGAAGAGTAGGCATTTGGAATTAAAAAATCTAGAAACACAGAGCTCCAGAAGTGTAGAGATTTGATGATGAAAAATCCTAAGAATGTAGAAATGATTTATTGATTTAAGAATGTAGAAATCTAAGAATACAGGGAACTGAGGATATTCTCACTTGAGAATATCAAGATTCTAGGGATGTAGGAATCCAGAAACTCATTTGCTCTTTCCCATCTGATGCCTGCACCGTTGGGAACGGTTTTTGTCGTCATCGGAACCCAACATGGTTTTATACTGATTGGATCGATGCGAAGGTGCAACTGAGACGTGTCCCACCCTTTATGCATTTGCACTAAAGAAAAGTAAAGGGTGCTGAATTTAGATGAATCCCTTACTTTTTGGAACAACAAACTTGGAAACCGATATAAATTGTTTCGGATGATTTTTAGAAAAAAACCTTTAATTTATATAATTCATCAAATACATATTTTTTATAATAATAATTACAAAAAGATATCGCGAAGAATTTGGGTTAAACATTAATAATTTTGTGTTTTATTAGTTCAAAGCTAATATCGAATATATTAGCTTATATTCCATAGAATATAATAACTTCAGAAGTTTGAAACAATTTACTTCGTTTGATAACCTGTTCTACTTGTCTGACCATGTATAGTTCCAATTTTATTCGCTTGACATCTTACCATTCTTGTTCTACTTGTCTGACAATCTGTATTACCTATTCAGTTTGTCTGACTACCATCTATGCACATTCTACCGCTTGTCTAGTCACGTACGTTTCATAATTCACTGGTCTGACCAGCTACCGCATTATTCATCGAAATTTATCTCCTTTTATTCTCATTTCCTACTATTCCTATTCTACTTGTCTAACTACCTGCAATACCCATTTCACTTGTCTGACCACATATATCTTAATCTATTTCTACTTTACACTTTCTACTTCTATTTCATTATTTACTTTATTGAATCATTTACTTCTGGTGACGGTGTATCTACTTGTTTGACCACATAAGATATCTATATCACTTGTCTGATCACATATGGCTTAATCTATATTAACTTTACATTTTCTAGTTTTATTTCATTATTTTATTGACACATTTGCTTCTGTTGAAGGTAGATTCTACTTGTCTGATCACCTGAGGTGCCTATATCACTCGTCTGACCACATACACCTTAATCTATTTCTACTTTACAATTTCTAGTTTTACTTCGTTACTTAATTTACTGAATCATTTGTTTTAGTATATTCTACTTGTCTGACCACCTGCGGTTCCAATATCACTTGTCTGACCACATATATCTTAATCTATTTCTACTTTACAATTTCTAGTTTTATTTCGCTACTTAATTTACTGAATCATTTGTTTTGGTATATTCTACTTGTCTGACCACCTGGGGTAACTATATCACTTGTCTGACCACTTGGGGAGCCTATATCACTTGTCTGACTACATATATCTTAATCTATTTCTATTCTACAATTTCTAGTTTTATTTTGTTACTTAATTTACTGAATCATTTGTTTTGGTATATTCTACTTGTCTGACCACTTGGGGTACCTCTTTCACTTGTCTGACCATCTACAACACTTATATCACTTGTCTGACCATTTTGGTAGTGTGTTTCGAATTTTTACCTTTCATTTTATTTACTTTATCGAATGTTTCCCTCTCTACTCTATTTATCTAACTTTACACTATTCTTATTCTACTTGTCTGATCATTCACAGCTGCAATGTCACTTATCTGATCACCTACATAGTAATCTATTCCGAATTCTCTACCTTTATTTCACTATCGATTTTACTTAAGCATTCCCCCTTTCCTTCCTCTTCAATTGATTGTCTTCGTGCTGTTCCTTTCTACTTGTCTGACCAATTACCCGTCGTCAATCCGTCTACAACCTATCTCCTTATTTACACATTCTATTCATTATTGCTTACTTCACTGAAACTTCCCGTTCTTTTCCCATTTAATTTACAATACACTATAAATCATCTTCTTACTGAAAACCAACTACAATTCGTTACTAGAAACAGTCTTCAATTCATTGCAATTAATCATAAAATCGTAACAAGGAAAGCATCGAAAGAACTTTCAAACTTTACAAAAGTCATTAATCAAAATATCTGTTTCCCGAAAATCTTATAAATCGTCCCGTCGTAGAAAATCTTGGTGATTCCCAGGAACAAGTAAATCGTGCGGAAAATCGCCTGCGCGCAATGCAATATCGTCGTTAAAGCGATTACATGACCAGAATTAACGATTCCTTTAAACCTCGCGTCTTTCTGTTGGCAGATTGACCGGAAGCCCCGCGGCGAAGTAACGCGGTTTTCTAAATGCCAAGGAGAACCACTCAAAGCCATCCAAGTGTCCCATTAAGTACGCTTATTTTCGCTCGACTGAGCCCCAAGCTTGCCATTAGCCGCGGTGTAACGTTATTAGTTGTAACAAGGGAAGCACCTGGTCTTCGATATCTAATGAGCAAAATGCACTTCGCGTTGGACTGCGATAAATTCCTCAAACTCTTTCGCGCAATCCCTGAGGCAACGTTTTAGCTGCCACAATGGGAATCTGGAAGTATAAAGTGTTACGAAGATTTACGACTTCATAAGAAATTCAGACGTCAGCGGTTACATTCGCAGCTGAAAAAGTAGAAGACGTTTCTTCTTTTAAGTTTTTATATTGGTTTGCCATTTTATGATTTGTGCAACGTCAGATACTGTTCTCGAGAGTGCAAGACGTTTCTGGATTTCGGAAGTTGTGGGGTTGTATATTTGTAAATCATTAAATTTCTAAATTTTTATACTCAACTATTTAATAATGAAATTTATATATTTTCAAGTAATCTAAGAAGTGCCTAAATTTTGTAATGTTCGAAAACTTTATTTCTGCATTTTCCAATTCTCAGATCCTCTAGTTCTCAAAGTCTCAATGAGCAAATTCTCTAATTCGAATTCTCAATTTCCCAATTTCCTAACCTCAGTAATCCTCAAATCCAAAATTCTAAAACTTCCAATTTTCGGATTTTCCAATTCTGAAGTCTTCAAATTCTCAAATCCTCCAATCTCTAAAATTCCAAATTCCCAAATCCCCAATTTTTAAATTGCCCATCTCTCAAATTTCACAATTCTCAAATTCCTTAAATTCCAAGTTCTCCAATTTCCAGGCTCACAATTCCTTTACCCCCAATTCTCAAATCCCCCATTTTCCAAATTCCCCAATTCCTTTACCCTCAATTTTCAAATCCCCAATTTCCCAAATCTCCCAATTCCCAAACCTCCAATTCTCAAATCCCCAATTCCCGAAACCCCAATTTTCAACCCCTAAATTCTTGACCTTAAAATTCTCAAATCCCCAAATTCAAAAGTTCCCAACCTCCTAAATCCCATAATCCCACGTCCCCAAATTCCCAAACTCCCAACCTCCCAAATCTCCAAATTCAAACTTCCAAACTCAAACTCCTGACAAAACCTACCAATGAATATTCAGAACGGTTTCTATTGCAGCTAATAAAAAGACATGTCAACGTGTCGCATCGCCTAAAGTTAACAAGATAATACGCGATTCCTTGACACCCTTCCAATGCTACGAAAGCCATTTATGTTCCATCTTACAACATTAGAAATGATCACAGTAAAAGGTTTATAAATTTGTCTCTGTTATAAGTTTTCCTTTAACACCGCCGCGTAAAATATTTTCGAAAGTTTCGCATGATCCTCGAGTAAACTTAGAAACATTTGTGCGAGGGAAAGATATGACGATATAAAGCCATTTATTACGAGTACATAAATCGACGGGTAAAAATAGAAATTGGTCGATAGGATTGCTGAAATAGGATCCGAACCCCAATTTCAGAATTGCCAGACTACTTTATCCGCAGAATTTTCCCTCTCTGTGTTCCATTTTTACTGAACGAAGTTTCCAAAAGTAATCTGTTATCTTAGAGATCTAATGTGTGGGATGAGCGATAGAAAATATTAAGTGCATGCTTTAATAATTATCTGTCAAGTTTTATATACATGTTCAGAGATTATTAGGGACATCACTGAACGTCACATTCAATATGATATTAAAAACTGTTACATTAAATATGATATTAAGAACTAATAATATGTTTAGAATGTCAGAGGATTTGGATTTTTCTGACATTTCACTCAACATTTTTAAATCTTTATGAGAGAAATATATAAGAGAAAAACAAAAGAAAATGTGAGAGGTGAATATCAGAAATAATACATATGTGTTATTATTCATATGTTAGAAATAATACATATGTGTAATTATTCATATGTTAGAAACAATACATACGTGTTATTATTCATATGTTAGAAATAATACATGTGTGTAATTATTCATATATAAGAAATAATACATATGTGTTATTATTCATATGTTAGAAATAATACATATGTGTCATTATTCATATATTAGAAATAATACATATGTGTAATTATTCATATATAAGAAATAATACATATGTGTTATTATTCATATGTTAGAAATAATACATATGTATAAGAGTATAAGAGTATACATATATAGGTAATATAAGAAATGAAAAAAGTGGAAATATTTCTGAACGTCATAACTCTGCCCAAAATAAAAATATTACAGAATCTGTGTACTGTATTAACCCATCCTCTCATTCTGAACCCTTCGATTCCAGTTTCGTGAATAAAAAAGAGGTAGAAATGACCCTCAAACAGTCCACAAAACACCTCTAGATTCCTCTCCAACTCATTAACAACATCCACTAGGGTTGTAAATTCCATCATAAATAATACTATCATAATCATAAATAATTCTAGCATAAAATGTACGAAGTTAAAAATGTTATAAATGCGAGCTATTTTCAGAGATCCTGTAAGGGGTTGAAAAAGTAAAGCTTACCCCTGATTGGAGTACGAGTTCGGTATCGCATCCAGACTTTCCCTGCTGTTGTCATCGGCCATGGCGACTTTCATGTGATGTCCAAAGCTCTCTATGTTTTCCCTGAAAGCATCGCTACCGGGTGTAAGGGCGCCACTCGTCAATGGCACCGGTGTCGCGTTACTTCTTTCGCCCTCTCCACCGTCTTCGCCCTCCGGCGTGGGCGACGAGCCTACGAGGACCTCCTCGTCTTCGTTGTAAATCTTGAAGTAGGCGATGGTGAGGTATATCACCGAGATTATGAAAGACGGTATCGGAATCGCCATCGCGTACACCAGATTCATGTACACCTGGGGGAACACGTCGTACGGAATGTCACCGATGTTGAATGCTTCAATTTCGCGGGACAGGATTTTCTCTTTTCATGCTGTTATGTATGGAGAGCGGAAACGTTTATCTGCGGAATCTTTGGCAACGGAGATTTATGATCGGGCTGCTTACAGATTTTATCAGATAGAACGTTCTGCGGGGAAATGATAAATTAGGGGTTGCTTCTCGATATGCAGAACTTTTATCCTTTACATTACGGGATAAGTTAGAAATAATTTTCTATTGATAAATAAATTCTTTACATTATAAATAACAATATTTCTCTATAGAAATTGTTCAAATTGTAAGGATGTGACTGGAGGAAGGTTCTCTATTTTTGATTGGATACTTTTTTTATAAAACTTGCAACTGAATGCACCAAGTGATGAAGAGCACCATATCTGTTGATTTCTAAGTAAAAGTCTTCTAAGTAGAAATTCTATTTTTACTTAGAAATCAACATAGAAGACATTGTTTATCTAACACATAATAAATGAATCTTCAACTCTTAGCACTCGAAGATATTTTTGCAGTTCAAACTTTTTAGTTAAAAAATTTAGTGAATTATTTTGAGATTACTATTTTAGCATTATTGCTTATCACTGCTGTTTCCACTATGTTTCTACACATGTACAACTCTATAAACTTGGTTAAAAAATATTTATCTAAAATTCTTATACTAAACTGAATTATGTCACCTTTCGAGAGCTAAGAATTAAACACAGCACAACATTCAGCAATAAGAAAAATAAAAAATACCAAATAACGTCGAAAATCTCGATCTTACTTCCACATTCGATTGCATGAATACCGTACATCATGCGTGTACAGCAATCAACATTAATTTCAGAAATTGTTACGCGCACGACGATATTATTGTCGCTTCATAATCGCAGCACGGATTCAATTCAGCGTTGGAAAATTTTCTTTTCTTCCGGACAACGCCGCTGGAGTTCCATCGAGTGCGATGGTTCCCTTTCTTTGTCATCGGGACGCCATTCAGAGAGCTTGAAACGTATTGTTCGTCACCGTGCAGGCAGCAACGTTTCCGTAAACGTAACGGAATTCCAGTGTGCCTTGCGACCACGACACCGGAAGATCGTTTTCCACGCCGGGATGCAGTTGGATCGCGCTTTCCATTTACTGCGTCTGTTCCTTTGCGAATTGCTCGATTTAATACTTTCCATTAACGGGGCAATTCGCGCGATTAACTCTGTTTTCGTTACGTTATACTACGCGGAATATGTGCATTGTAATTAATTTTCTTCTATGTAGGAATTTAATAATTTGCGAATTTTGGGGATTTTTGGGAGAGATTGAAGAAATGGAAGTTTGGGAAATTTAAAAAAATAGGAATTTGGGGGTGTGAAGTTTGAGAGTTGAAACTTAGGTGTTTTTATGGAATTTTTGGTGAAATATTTGGGGAGTTTGGGAATTTGGGAATTTGGGAATTTAGGAATTTGGGAATTTGGGAATTTGGGAATTTAGGAATTTGGGAATTTGGGAATTTGGGAATTTAGGAATTTGGGAATTTGGGAATTTGGGAATTTAGGAATTTGGGAATTTGGGAATTTGGGAATTTAGGAATTTGGGAATTTGGGAATTTGGGAATTTAGGAATTTGGGAATTTGGGAATTTGGGAATTTAGGAATTTGGGAATTTGGGAATTTGGGAATTTAGGAATTTGGGAATTTGGGAATTTGGGAATTTAGGAATTTGGGAATTTGGGAATTTGGGAATTTAGGAATTTGGGAATTTGGGAATTTGGGAATTTAGGAATTTGGGAATTTGGGAATTTGGAAATTTGGGAATATAGGTATTTGGAAATTTAGAAATTTAGAAATGTAGAAATCTGGGGATTTAGGAATTTGGAAATTTAAAAATTTGGGAATCTAGGAATTTGGAGAAATAAGAATTCGGAAGTCTAGTAATTTCCCTATATAGGAATTTGGGGATCTAGGAATTTAAGAATCTAGGAATTTGGGGATCTAAGAATTTACAAATCCAGAAATTTGAAAATTTAGGAATTAGAAAATCTACCAATTTGAAGACATAAGAACTTGTAAACCCAAAAATTTAGAAATTGAACCTTTCGAAAATATTTGCAAACCTATAAACTAAAAATCTAAAAATTTGAACATTCAAATATTCAGAAATCTATAAAATTGAATTTGTAAATAAAAAAAGAATAAATTCGATTAAATCCAATAAATAAAAATATTAAAGGCAATTTAAAATTATCAACCCGATAAAAATCAGGGAGTACATTCTTTGTTCGGGAACAATGAATAACCAGAAGAGGGAAAGACTCCGAAATAATGAACTACCATTTCGTTCTATCAGAAAAATCTCTCTTAATTTCAACCGCACAATCGCGATTTGTCAATAGTTTTTCGTTCGCCGTCCGATTTCGTGCAGCATTTCCGATAACAACTTCCTGTAACTCGAAGTTCGCAACGGTCCTTTGTCATTGTTCGTTCTTTCCCGGCGTCTGGAAACGGGCGAACGCAATCACCATCAATTACTGGAGTTCGCAACTGGCAAGTCTTTGTGTCCCAATTAAAGCAGATACGTATCTCCGTTAATAATGAGCAACTGTTACGTACTTAACCATTTAACGGCAGGGTAAGACGCTCAGTTGGCTGCATAATGCACTATGCCCTCAATATACACCTGCAGTATCGATTCACGGGAGCGACGTTCCTGTCGACGGTAAACTCGCACAAAAGTCGAGCACCACTACAGGCCACTTTTCGCGTGACTTGTACGTGCAAGCACCAGGCGTAAATCGGCGATGTCTAGAACGCGGTAACCGGGTTACTACTCGAAAGCAAAGGACACGTCAGTGCGACGAGATCCCTGATTCTTATCCACCGTCGATTGCCCTAATGCCAATTCAACTCGTAAAGCCGATTTCTCCGTTTGTTTTCTGCTTTGCCTCGTTCCAACACTGCAACCATTGTGCTGAGTCTCCATTCACGATGAATTCATTCGGATGTCAACACTTTTCGATTACAAATGCATTTTTGATACACCTAATAATCTGATTAAGTGAATCACGGCGTATAATGCGTTCCTCGGGGTATTACATGTGATCGATGTGATCTAGTTTATAGATTACATGCAGTTTACGTGATACGCAAATTACGTGTAACCGATGCATTAATCTATGTAATTTATAATCTTTACATTATATGTAATCTATGTGATTCACAATAACATACGTAATTTATGTGATTGATATAATATGAAGGGATAAATGTGATATGTCATAAATGTATGCAATGTATAAGTGTATATGATGTATAGAATGTACATATGTGATGCATATGATGTATATGATGTATAGGATGTACTTCACAGTTTAATTACAATTAAATGTATTTCAGCAAAGTCAATAAATGTTCTCTATATTTAAGGCAGGATCATAACGATGTTATCAAGGATTCACCCATATTCACTGCATCAATTAAATGTCATCTTGCATTCAGAATCCTCTTCATGCATTTTTCAGTACTTTTATTCAGTACTAGAAAGTTATTTATTAGAAAGTACTTTATCATGTACTTTCAGTTCTCAAACTGTATATTCTTCTCGACGTAATTTAAACAATACCAAAATATCTTTCTAAATATCTAAGTAAGATCGAGATTCACGTAAGAACCGTAAAGGCTTTGAAAGGAAAAAGTTTCACGCCGAATCAAGCAATACGGAAGAAAAAAAGTAGCAGGAGATAACGACGTTTGCTCCAGTTTCATTTCGCCAAGTGAAAAAGACGGGAAGAGAAAGAGAGGATACCCTGGTACTTTCGGAGTGTAATATAAGGTAAACGTGGAACGCGAAATAAAACTAAATTATACTGGAGTTGCTGCATACGCTAGTGCAACGTTTCGGTTCAAGCACTTTACGCAACGACACCAAATGCAAACTAGAAATACGGACGAGAAACTTATGTCTTGGAAGAGCCATTTCTGGAAGAAACTGGGGTTAAATCTCGGTTCAAAATCTTGAGTCTCAATTTTGATTACAGGTATATTTTGTAGTATGTTTTAGTATGGGCAACACCAATCAAGGTTATATTAAAGGGATTCGAAATTGTACATTTGGATGCAACGTAGTCTTTTGCTTATTACAAAGTTTCATTAGGTTGAGTTATTTGGTACTTCAGCGTTTGATTCATGAGAACGCAAAAGAAATTTGAAGAGAAATTGATAAGTATACAAAAATTTAACAGCTTGAAGAATTCGAGAATCTACAGGAAACTTAGAATTTAGGAAATCTAAGTTAGAATTTGAGGTAAACTACAATCTAGGGAGGGTTGGAGTCTACCTGGGTCCCAGAATTTAGGAATAATTGAAACAATATAGGACCTAGGGTTTAGTGGAAGTTTGGGACCTAGAGAGAGCTTGAAGACCTAGGTCGAACCGAAGGAGGACCTAGGAACTTAAGCGTTCAGAACTTAAGGTGAACTGAGGACCCAGAAAACTAAGTTTTGGACCTAGACAAGACTTAGGTTCTAGTAGGCATTTGTGGACCTATGGGAAGTGTGGAGTCTAGGTACAGTCGAAATGTCATAAGGAACCTAAGATCTAGGAAGAGTAGAACTTAGGGAGTCTTTGGGACCTAAAGAAGATTTAAAACCTAACTAACCTGGGGACAATCTGAGACCTAGCACTTAGAGATGAATTGTATGATTTGGAAATGACTTTGTTGGGAGTACTTGTGAATAATCTAGGACCTAGAGATAATCAGGTACTTGTGGATAATCTAGGACCTAGAGATAACCAAGTACTTGTGGATAATATAGGACCTAGAGATAACCAAGTACTTGTGTATAATCTGGGACCTAGAGATAACTTAAGACCTACGATAACTCAGAACTTAGTTAAATTGAAAGTTAAATCTTAGAACTTAAAAGTAACCTAGAATCTAGAATAAACTTAATAGCCTAAGTAAACCTAATTCCCAACTAACAGAAGCCTACATTGCTCCCAAATGTACAAATTCCCATATGCCACGTATCACGTATAACAAAATTCCCATCAAGTAGTTACGTCCAAAAAGCTTTCTTCCGAGTCATAATCCTGGACGAGAATATATAGAGGATCGCAGAGACCTGCCACATGTCGAGGTCGCTGATGACTATCCCGGGGTCCACTTTCGAGTAGTAACAGCTAAAGTTCTGCCCTATGTTGGCGTACTGCCGGTAGAAAATACTGCAATTCAGCATTGGAGGGTATCCACAGCCTTTTACGTTGGGGAACAGCTTGGCCCCGGTGAAGTACCACTCGGAGTCGTTGCCCATGAGCCCTGCGAACTTCGCCTCGTTATCACACAGTCGCTTTCCACGTCCGTCAACAGACATTTCCATAAGAGAATAAGTAGACTTTTGCTCAGTGAACTTCTATTATATGTCAGTACACGCGACAATAGATTCCCGTGTTTCGTTATGGTGGACACGTGTCATCGTTATAGCGGTCCTCGTAATTGTCGCGAGTACTTGACCATCGTTTGGTCATGCAGTTTCTAGGAGTACAGTTTGCTTTTTGACATTTGGGAACTGGGTCAAATTAAGATGGCCTGAAGTGCGTACAACGGTTCGTGAGGATACTGTAGTTTCGTTCGTTAGTTTCACCCGGGGCTTTGTATCGGACATTTCGCGAGAAGAGAAAGCACTGCTTCTAAACTTTAATTCAGCTTACGTTCTCTGAGATTTTGAAATTTTACGTAAAAATGATTCAAAGGACTCAGAAGTTAGATATCAAGGGAATGTAAGAAAACGGCAGTCTTTTAGCAAGCGAAAGTTGTAAAAATGTTTCTCTTCCGGCGAGGGATTCAGTGTCGAGAAGAATACGGAAGTGAACGTTACATCAAAGGGGAAGTCACGAGAGCTTTCCGTAAGAACTTCTCTTATCTTGAACGTTTACTCAGTTAACAGAAAACGCTCGTATCTAAACACCGTTCCCATAAAAAAGGAAAACATCTCCCCCATTTCATGCAGTAACTTTTCGGGCGTTATTCGGATTATGCTCGTGCTTTTACCATCACTCGGACAAAAGTAAACGTAGACACGACACCACAGGACGTTGTCCTGTACCTGTAGGAAAGGGTTTCGGCAGTCCTGCTTCGTCGTCCTCGGCGAAGTCCTCGTCGAGGTCCTCCACGTAGTCATACTCCCTGAGGGAACGCTCGTAACGCGGTTTTCCCATCGTCGTGCTGTCTTCGTCATCCTCGACACCTCCTACCGCCCCGCCTCCCTCGCCTTGTTCATCGCTATCCTCGGACGTGTTTGTCGGCAGCTTGTAATTCACGCGTATTTGCGTGCAATCGTACAGCTCCTTGGTGCAACCTTCTCTACAGGACGTCCATGAGCAGTTGCTCGTACCTGAACTCAACGGATCGTTCGAAGATTTGTCAACCACCGAAATCGTTCAAGGGAACACGAGAGAAGATATCGATACAACCATTCATGATACACAGATTTGCACGTCGAACATTTTTGTTTGCATTGGTACTTTTTTCGTGGCATTTTTAGTGAACAGTTTACAGATAGTGTAGAATTTGATACATTCGCGATTAACACGTTTGCTACCGGTATTTAAGATTTTGTCATTGTGAATCACTTTCTGTGTTAAGAAACAGTATAATTAATTTATTTATATAATTGACATTGAGCTATTTAATCGATATGTTTTGAGATCATGTAATAGAGACTTTTTTAGAATATTCAGAAACTATTTGAGACTATTTTAAAACATATGAGACAATTTACCATGTGAGAGCAGAGTATATTGTTTCATATGATATATGCGTGCATATGATACTAGTAGCGAACATGTTACGTAGTATTCTTTAAATAGTGGTTAACGTGAGTACAAGCGTGAAATATTGTGTTATGCTGTCGTTCTTAATAATAGAAGGGAAAGTATTTACCTATGTACATCTATAATTAAGGTATTTAGTTGCGGTAATTGAATAATGCTGAATTGAGTCGTGTCGAATTGAATATCGAGGAATTGAACCACGTCGAACTGACTTCCATTGAATTGAATTATGTAGAATTAAATTGCACCGATTTGAACGACATGGAATTGAATTACGCTGAATAGAATTGTGCTGAATTGAATTGCATTGAATTGAATCGCGAGGAATTGAATTTTACCGAATTGAAATGTACTGAATTGAATTCTACCGAATTGAAACACATCGAATTGAAACACGTGGAATTGAATCGCGTTGAATTAAAACGCGACAAATTGAAACCCGTTGAATTGAATTTCATGGAATTGAAACGCGTCGAATTGAATATCGAGGAATTGAACCGTGTGGAATTGAAACGCGTCGAATTGAAACCCGTGGAATTGAATCGCGTTGAATTAAAACGCGACAAATTGAAACCCGTGGAATTGAATCGCATCGAATTGGGACACGCCGAATTGAAACCCGTTGAATTAAATCGCATGGAATTGAAATGCGTCGAATTGAAACCCGTGGAATTCAATCGTGTGGAATTGAAACGCGTCGAATTGAAACCCGTGGAATTGAATCTCTTCGAATTGAAACGCGACGAATTGAAACCCGTGTAATTGAATCGCGTCGAATTGGAACGCGTGGAATTGAAACGCGTTAAATTGAAACGCGTGGAATTGAAACAGGTGGAATTGATTCGCGTCGAATTGTAACACGTGGAATTGAATCGCGTCGAGTTGAACCGTATAAAATTGAACTCCACCAAATACAATCCCATCAATTTGAAAATTGCCGAATTGAATCGTGCTAAATTGAATCATATCGATCCAAATCACGACGTATTTTAACGCATCTCAAATCGCATCAAATTGAATCTTGTCTACTCGCGTCAAATTGAATTCCAGGTAATTTCATGCCATCTAATCAAACCGCGCCAAAATAAATGTCACCCGTTAAAAAGAATCATCACCCCGTTAAACCATAATACTCTCCCTTCTAAAAAAAGAAAACAATTAACGTGAACAAATACGTGTCACGAGACAACAGCTGTCCGTTACGAAGCCAAGAAATTCAATCAACCTGAATTGCTTGTCAACCGGTAAGAAACAAATGGTGTTTCGACGTGCATCACGTTACTTGAGGAATGAGAGACAAACGGAGAGACAAAGAGAGCTTAGATAAAAGATACACGCAGAAAGTGGTGCGATCAACGGAATTGAACGCATAAATCTTTCGGAAGAGGACGCGAGACAAGGGGGCAACATCGACGGAGAAGAAAGAATGCACGCTGACTTCCTGAAGATTCTCGAGAACAAGAAAACTGTAGCAAAGTTCTCGACGTGGTCCCCGAGGCAGCTTACAAAATCCTTGCTCTGACTTCTTCTCACGCGCAACTTTCGAGGAAAAATAGCTTCGATGGAGTTGACGTGCTGGTTCACGCTTTTGAATCTCAAAAATTTGTCAACTCATCTTTTTTAATACCAATTGGACTAATGATTTTTAATGATGGCTACAAATTTGACATTTGAATATCATGAACAGTAGAATTGTACCTTTGCTTTAAAATAAAAATAAGACAATTTGTCTTGTAAATGAATAAGATGAATAAAACAAACAGTAGAGGGAGTACACAAAATTTGAAACTGGGTCTCTTATGAATCTTATATTAAAAAGTAACGAATGAACTAGTATATCATGAAATAGATAATCAATAAAATAAAAATAGATCTATAAGGTCTTTGCAAAGTAAAGAAGAAATAGAAAAATGAAATTAATGTATTGATAAATAATATTAATTTTGAACGTCATCGAAAGGAGCTGAAGTGATTAGTGAATCGTTTGAAGGCACGTATTGCAATAATTTTAATTACTGAAACTAGGTGTTGCAGGAACGCGGAGTAGCTCGAACTGTTAATTAACCTTAGCATCGACACAGCTGTCGCATGGCATCCAATATAATCTAACTTGCTGCATTTTCTTCCCTTCGCAAATTTACCCCCGAGTTCGTGTTCTCGAAATCCTATTACGAGACATCAGCTACATCTAATCATCCTGTTTGTAGTTATCGCAACAGCATCCAAAAATGTCTGCGATAAGTTGCACCAACAACATTGTTACAAGAATACCTCGAAGGGGTGTGCAGAAGAAACGTTCTTGAAAATAATTAAAATAGTTACACTTCGTCCAACCGGAATTCACCAACTTTCTCTTGAATTCTAGTAACGAATGAAATGCATATTCAAGGGTTCGATGCATATTTATACGCACAACTAAGGTTGCATAGCTAACAGGAAAATTGTAATGAAACGTGGAGAAATTTGAACAACACGGATAGTAGAAATCTAGATAGCAGAGAAGAACAACAGTGCATCGGTGGTTCAGAGGGGAGGCAACCACACTGATTAAAATAGAATATTAAATACCAGGAATAATCAACATAGAATACTCAGAGAGAATATACGTTTATACACATTCTTTCACGACAGAATAATTGCACATTGCAGTTTGTTTAAGTGCACTTACTTTCGGGATACGTGCAATCAACGCTGAGAAAACATTCAGGAATTTATATTATAAATACGACAATTAATTCTCTGTGTAATGTAGGTGAAATATACGGTGGAATTAAGAGATAATCGAAGGGCTTTCGTTTTATGTGGAAATGATTTTCAATATACTTTAGATATTTCTATTTAGATTTTTATTCTACTTTGGATATGTAGAATGAGTCGAGCAAATGGATTTACAGTTTTGAATTTGGAATTCTGGAGTTTGGTGATTTAAAATTTTTGGAATAATGGAATTTTTGTATATTTAGGGTTTTGAAGTTTCAGAATTTTATCTTTGGGACTTTGGAATTTTTATTCCTTGAGAATTTCAAGTTTTGGGATTTCAATATTCTAGATTTTTGGGACTTTGGAATTTTTGACGCTTTAAGAATTTCAAGTTTTGGGATTTTAATATTCTAGATTTTTGGGACTTTGGAATTTTTGACGCTTTAAGAATTTCAAGTTTTGGGATTTTAATATTTTAGATTTTTGGGACTTTGGAATTTTTTACGCTTTGAGAATTTCAATTTTTGGGATTTTAATATTTTAGATTTTTGGAACTTTGGAATTTTTGACGCTTTAAGAATTTCAAATTTTGGGATTTTAATATTTTAGATTTTTGGGACTTTGGAATTTTGACCCCTCAAGTATTTCAAATTTTAGAATTTTAACACTTAAGTTCTTTGGGACTTTGAGATTTTGAACTTTCAGAATTTTTGAATGTTACTTTAGAATTTTGAGATTTCGGTATTTTAGAATATTGAAATGTTACGACTTCACAATTTCGGGATGTCAGAATTTTAGAATTTTGGAATGTTGGAATTCTAGAACCCTAAAATTTCAGGATTGTAGAATTCTGGAACATTTAGATTTCAGAACTTCGAGATTTCGAAATTGTAGAATTTTCAAATTTTGAGATTTCCAAACTTCAAGAATTTTACACTGAATCCTCATAACTTTGACAGTTTAGAATTTTGGAAATGGACTTTCACATCCTCAAAACCTTATAATTTTAAAATATTCAATGTTTGGACTTTGTATTAATTTATCTTCAGGTCGGCCAATGATCATAGCAGTCGAGGCCCATATAAAATCAATCAATCTTCAGGCTTTGGCCCATTGAAATTTTTAAACGTTGGATTTCAAGGATTTTGCAAACATCCTAAAATACAAAAGTCAATCTCTGTCCAAAGTATCCACCACTGAACAATTTCAGTGTCACAATTGAAAAAATAATACAATCCAATTGTTCGACTCATCCTGCAATCAGTTTCCATTATACCCCATTTCATTTCACATTTCGCAGTTCAATTATTGTTATCAAACCCTGAATCCTTACCGTTTCTCTATAAAAATCGTTAAAAATAATTGGTAGAATCATACCGACAGATCTCAGCAGTAATTATTAAGATAGGTGTGTACATGCATGGACGAGCATATGCACTCAGACACACATGGATCAAGAAGTAGACGTCGAAGCACTCGAACGTTGAGAATGGCTGCAGCCTACAGCCTCTGGCATTCGACAGAGGACCTGAAGTGTAAGCACAAGGGTGACGAAAGAGCGAACGGGTATCACAGAGGGGTGAGTTCGGATCGTTCGAGACCGGCTCGAATATCGTGAATACAAAGACACCAGTTGCGTCGATCTTAGCCTCGTCTTCGTCTAGTGGCTCTTTACCGCCACTATTACATCGATATATCGATAACCGAGTCGTTTACGCGAACGACACGTCCAATTTGCGAACTCGTTTCTTATCGCGATCTCGGACCTCGCATAATTACGCCACGTCGCGTTAGACATCGATTAAACGGCTATCGGCATGATTCAAGTTTTTATATCATGAATCAACCGTATTTTTTGTTAAGCCTTAATTATTCCTTAATAGCCTTCCGTAAACGTTAATTACTTATTAAAAATATTCTGAGTCATAATTAATTTCTAATTTTTTATCGAACGAATTTCGATAGATTTAATCTTAATTTTTAATTCAGTTATCGTTACGAGTATTATTAATCACCCGATCAAAAATCGAGTTTTGATAACAATATCATCCGATCAAAAACTGCAATTTAATTTTTAATTAACAAACACTAAACGTTAATTGTTGATTGTTAACTAGTGATCAATTAACTTTCGATCTGAAATCAACAGCACATTAATCATTTCGAAAGAATTATTAAGGAAATTTCAAAGTGTTCTGAAATGATATGCAAATTTTGTCCTCGACAAAAGTTGAATAAAAATTTTCGCTAACATGGTTCGATGATCGCGTGTATTACACTGATGAAATATTTAGGTAGTGCGTTTTCAATGGCAATCGATACCGATATTCATAAATAACGAGCAATTATTTAGAACATCAAAAGCTGTACCTCATTTTTCAGTCTCCTCGTGTACCGCAACGAGTTCGAAGACCAATATTTGCAGCCAATCTGGGAAATGAAATTTTCGTCCAAATATAATTTCAACGATGAATTCGCGCGGACAGAAACATTTTATGACCACGTCACTTCGCGTACTCGAAAAATTGATTGACGTTCCGGCTGTGCACCTGCTGGTCACACAATTTCAAACATTTCACTGCGTAGAAAGCTTTTGCCGCCCTATCGACCCTATCGTTCATCTACCGAGATTTTATCCACGTCATTTAAATCTTGTTTCCATTAAAATCAACAGCGTGCCAACGGATCGGGTTGAAACGCCGATGGAATTCAGGTGAACGAATGCAAATTGAACGCCGGATACGGTTTTTCCTTCCGACTGCGAAAAAATACTAAATGTATGGCCACGCTATTGTTGCTCGTTACGGTACACGTTATTATGGTTTTCTGCATTATCATTTTCTTTCTATCGAACCATACTATTTTTCAATTTGCCATTCATTATTTTTTTGTTTGATTAGGATTTGAGTAATGACGATAGGTGGTGTAATTGTTAGTGTATTTTTAGATTTTTTTCAGGATTGAAGGCTTGGATTTTCAGATTTTGGAATTTCGGAACCTAGGGATTTTTTAACGTAGGAGCGTTAGAATCTAAGGATTCTTCAATTTTTTTATTTTTGATTCTAGGGATTTTTTAATTTTGGAATTTTAGAATCGAGGGGTTTTGGAATCTAGGGATTTTGGAATTTTGGAATCTAAGAACTTTGAAATTTTAGAATCTAGGCACTTTGTAATTTTGGAATCTAGGGATTTAGGAAATTTTGGAATTTTTAAATTTTAGAATTTATGGCTTTTTGAATTTTAGAAACTAGGGATTTTTGAATTATGAAAGTTAGGAATCTAGGGATTTTTGAATTTTGAAAGTTAGGAATTTAGGGATTTTTTAATTTTTGAATTTTTGAAGTTTTAGAATCTAGGGATTTTGGAATTTTGGAATTTTTGAATTTTGGAGTCTAAGGACTTTGAAATTTTAGAATCTAGGCACTTTGTAATTTTAGAATCTAGGGATTTTGGAAATTTTTGAATTTTTCAATTTTAGAATTTAGGGCTTTTTGTATTTTTAAATTTTAGAATCTAGGGATTTTTGAATTTTGAAAGTTAGGAATTTAGCGATCTTGGAATTTTTGAAGTTTTAGAATCTAGGGATTTTGGAATTTGGAAATTTGAGAGTTAGTAATTTTTTGTCGGAAATTTAGAATTTTGGAAATTTTGGAAATTAAGAATTTGGAAATACAAGTAACAGTAAATATAGGAATTCTTAAATTTTGAAAATTGTTAATTTATATTTAACTTTTAAATTTTGAAATTGTTGAACTATGAAAATTTAGAACTTTTGAGATTTTGAACTTGGAATCCGGGAGATCTTCCTAAAAACGATCTGCCCTATTACAAAAATAAATTATTATCAATTTTTTTCAATATTCCAAATTAATTTTATCCTTCACATCAACCACAACAGCAAAAACCCTACACTAATATTTCCCAATTCAAAATACAATAATAAAAAAATTTTGATGAATATCAAACATCATTTTATATCAATTGTTTCCATAATAAAGAAACAATCTAGCTTGAAATTTTGTTTAAAGAACTCTTTATACGTTTCCAACCAGAAAATAATTTATCCGAGCAAATAAATTTAATTCACCGCGATATTTCCGAGATATGTGTCACCGTGCAGTTTTATGTTTCTGTCCTTTTTAAATAATTAACAAAGGGCAAATGTCTGTCGGTCGCGAAATCGCGGCTCGTTTGCTGAATATTAAATTAAATGTCATTGGCTTCGAATCCCGGTCCGGTTATGGAATATTAATTTTGTCGTGCGAGTCGTCGATCGGCTGTCTATCAAAATAGTCGTCGTTATATCTATCCGATGCTTGAAAATAGTTTTCTCAATCATTCATGCAAATCGTATATTCCGGCTGTGACCCTATTTCGTGAATTGGAACGAATCGATTTATATATCCCGCAATTTCTTCCACGTATATCCTGTTTTCGATGGAACTGTAACGAAACCATTCCTCGACTTTTACAATTTTATATCGTATCGAGTACAAGCTGGACTTTAAATAACAATGTACTATATGTAGTATACTACTGTAAAATTGTATCGATATTACAAATTTTTTATGATTAAATTATCATAACTGACTCATTAAAATATTACAGATTTTAATTCGTTAATTAGTTAGAGTTTAAAATTAGTATTCAGTGAATGAAATTTTAAACTTAATTGAACACTGGAGGATTTTATGCAAATTTTACGTGGATTCACAAACTTCGACAATTTTGTATTACTTCAAATACACGACGTGGATTTTATGTAATAATATATTATATTATTGTATAAATTGTATTACGGAAAAATTGTACCGATATTACAGAATCTGAAAATTATCACAAATGGAAATTTATCATACATAGAAAATTATCACACATGGATAACTAGAATTAATTATTATAGGTTATTCATTATTATAGTTGTTCAGAATTAGTTACAGATCGAAATTAGTACCGAATGCATAGAATTTTAAACAGTGTTACACATAATTGAACACGCAAGAATTTTATGCAAATTCAACGTAGATACGCAAACACTGTCGTACGATGCATATTAATGCAACGACTACATTATTACAAAGATTAAAGAAAATATTATTAAAACACTGCGCTAAACGCGAAGATAAATGTGTCTGCGAAATGTGAAATGTCAAGGATTATAAAGATTCCTTTCAAAAATACTTTCGAACAAATAACGAATGCATTCGCGTTGCAACGTATCTCTAATACCCCTTCGATTTTCGATGTGCATCAAATGCACACGTGTTACTCGCATTATCGAACACATACGGGAGAATCGTCGAAAAAGTGTAGAGAAGTGGAAGAGCAATATACAGAAAAGGAACGCAACTCGTATTTTCACAGATGTTGCGGATCAAAAGAGTTGAAAAAATATGTAGATAAAAAGAAAGGAAAAGATGCAATGACATATACATTCAGGGTAAAAATATGAAATCAAATCACACATGTATTTCACGTATTATTTCGCTGTGGAAATTTGAGATGTTTTTTGAAGAAAGTTATTTTGGAAGAATGGTGAACAGAAATGTCAAAGATAAAGGAGAACTGTGAACATGCGTGAGGAAGTTATTTCATTCAATTATTTTGGGGTTGTTTTCATTTAATTATTCAATTTTGAGAAACAGGACCTCAGAGTCAGATATTTTTTAAATTTTTTATGCAGAAAATTATTTTGGAAGTTTGAAACTTTGAAACTTTAGAAATTTGAGAATTTTCGAACTTTGAGAATTCTTTGAATATTTCAAAATTTTTAGAAAGAAATTATAATTTTTGAACTTTCAAAATTTGGAATTTCAGTATCTGAGTTGTTGAACACCCACAATTTTGAAACTTAGGTATTTGAGTGTTTAAAAATATGGAAACCGAGACCTTGGGATTTCAGAAATTTGTAAGATCACAAATTCTGATGTTTCGAAACTTCAAAATTTAGAAATTTGGTAATGTGATAATTTTATGACTCTGATTGCAGAATTTTAGACCTTCGATCTCTCAAACTTGTCAAGTAACTATAATATTCAAATTTCAGAACTTCAAAAATTTCTAAATATAACTTGAAGATACAAAAAATTGTAAATGTGGAAATTTAAGGATAGTTTGATGAATTGACTCTCAAACTTCAAACCCCCTTAACAATGACCCTGAGGTCCTATCAACCTCAAAGGACATCATTTTGAAACACCATTCACCTTCCCAAAAATGACACAAGAAATCAGAAGGAAAACCTACTGACGAATCCAAACCTCATCAAAAAATACTCCGACAAGGCATCTAAAACCGGTCGATCCACGTTCTGCAATTACCTAGGGGGTTCATATAAAGAGTGTCCTTAGAAAAGAGAGACTAGAGGGTCATGCAACGACATAACGAAAGCTAACATCAATCTGTGGAAGTCTCTTTGGGACGATGAGGGATTATTATTTTCACCTCTCCTGGACTCAACGTCGATGGTGACACACTCGGCTGGCCGAGTGTCGAACTGCATGAAGATGGTGGTGAAGGCGGGGTCGATGACGAAGGGGACCAAGAAGAGGAAGGCAAAGAGGCTGAAGGTGCTGAGGAGGATGAAGAACGCGGTCGTGTAGAACAGCAGCTTTTGCAGGAACGTCTGCTTCTCCTTTTCCTCCTCCATCGCGGAGAACAAACGGCAGTGCTCGTTTCAGGGATGTGAACCTAAGTGGACGTCGTCGGCGTAGGCGTCGTCGTCGTCCTCGGCGTGCTCGCTGCTCGTCGTCACGTTGGACGTCGATGAGGCGATACGATCTGCGGATTCGTTTCTCCTTTCGTCAGACAATTTTCTTCCCGAGTTCCCCTACGGAAGCTTCTTCGCTACTGCGAATCAGGCTATTTCTATGCAAACCGTTTTTGCGTTACGAACCTTTCTTTCGACAAATTTCAACCCTTTCGGAAGGTTTCTGGGTTAATTCGGTAATCTTTTGGTGAGGACATTTTCTTTTGTTCGAACACTCTAATGGACTAATTAATTTCCTTTTTAGTTAAGGAAGGATTTCATTTTCGGTATGAACACTGTATACTTATATACATATTTTTGGTATAAATAGTATATACTGATATTGTATATCATTTTTTCTATACATAGTATACATTGATAATGTATATCATTTTTTTGTATAAATAGCATATGGTACATTAATATTCTATATCATTTTTGGTATAAATAGTATATATCTTGATATATATCATTTTTTGTATGAATAGATATATGCATCATATTTAGTATGAAGTACTCTAGAAACATTTTTTATCCAGAAGTTTTAATAACCTGTTGTTCACTGACTGAATAAACAAATGACGAGTTAATTCGACGTATTCGATTAATGAAATTTATTGGAAATAGAGAGTGATCTCGTCCCAATAAATGTGATTAATAGTTCTGTCATCAAAATGTACTGTCATCAAGCTTTAGGATAAATTGATTTGATTAATTACTGTATTATAATAAAATATAGAAAATCACACAGTGAAATGTATCTATATGGAAATTGATAAAAATTATATAACAAGTGTATATTATAGTAAATTGTAAATTGTGAAGACAATTTTTCATTACTGAATAATTTGTAATTGTGTGAGCATATATAAAAATAAAAAAAACTTCACCTATGAATTTTAATCAACTTTTAAAATAACTTGTATGCACCAATAATTTCGATTTTAACAAACAACCTTGTTAAATGACCTTGCTAAATATCTACTGATGATAAATATGATAAATACACGACGAATGGGGTTCGAATATTATCCGAGGATTCCCTTGAATTTTCACCGCAACCGAAAAGAAAGGAGATGGATGTTTCTGAGCTTTTTTAGTTTCATAGAATTCGACAAATCCTATGGGATACCATTGGAATCCTAAAGTAATTTCTTCCGGGGAATACACCGGGACACCGGTGTTGTTTCAAGTAAGCCTAGATTCAATAAATCGACCGAGGAGCTTCGCGATTCTCGAAGCGATATCGATTACAACTTCAAGATTCCTTGTGCTTTAACTGTTTGTAGAAATACTTGAACATAAAACTTCCCTTTCATCGACAACAGTTTGCGGCAGAAAATATCGTCTTATAAAATATGGCCTTTTCTTCGTGGGTTCAACGAACAAACCACCATCTTTACTGGTTGTGATACTAAGATTTTTCTATCTGTGTATGTACCTCGTTTCTGGGTATATAATGTATGTATGTATACGTTATGGTTTATATACATAAATTATATAATGAGTTACATAAATAATTTACACAATTAATTTGTATAATGTATGTCATATATAATATGTCATGATTTATATAATGATTGACATACACATTATTGCCCAAGTACAGTCAATTATTTTGGAGTTAAGCTAACTTGTAGTTTGAAATAATATTTTCTAGAATATTGCACTACAATGGCTCATAATAACCTAACAGAACAAAGACTTCGAACTAGAAATATAAAAACGAAATTATTATTTATTAAGAATGTATATTCTATACAAAATGAGATACACTGTAGTAGTGTCAAAAATATTTTGGAACGATTCCAAAGCCTGCATCAAAGACTTCATTTAGACATAAGAAGAATCAGCTGCTAATACTAAATTTTTCAAAAAATAATAAATGAATTTGTACCTAAAGTACTAATCCTCCTAATCGATTTGGAACTCGATATTCATATCACATTCAGGTTCTTATTATTCCACAATAAGACACAGCACAGCAATTCGAATCGTAGATGGCAATTCGCGAAGGCATTACTTCATTCATCGAATCAGCACGTGCCAATTTCGTAGTATTAGGCGTAAGAAATTAACATGACAATGAACCGACGATACGCGAGCTATGAGCTTGCCATTCACGACTTCCTGTAACAATGTCGACCAGGAATTCTACTCGGATCCCTTCGCGTTTCAAACTTTTACGGTATTCGAGGCGTTGCCTCGCCTTTTTTGAGAAGTTTGATTCACGCTGCCGGAGTTTCGAAGCTACCTCTCTACTCTAACTCTCTACTCTGTGTTTTGGTTAGTCTGATCCCAACTGGAGTGAAACGTTTTCGAAATGCTCCTTTCTTGTTTTTAACTACGTGTTGGGGTATACGTGTAGAACAGTGTGGTGTTAAATAGTGATGGGAGGATAAGGTGATTGTGAAGGTTGCGCTTATTGGGGTGCACATTTTTAGTTTGCAAAATTGGGAAGGTGTCAGTTTGGGGATTTGGAAATTTAGGGATTTGGGGATTTTGGAATTTGGGAGATTTGGAATTTGGGAGATTTGGAATTTGGGAGATTTGGAATTTGGGAGATTTGGAATTTGGGAGATGTGGAATTTGGGAGATTTGATTGGAATTTGGGAGATTTGGTATTTGGGAGATTTGGAATTTGGGAGATTTGGTATTTGGGAGATTTGGAATTTGGGAGATTTGGTATTTGGGAGATTTGGAATTTGGGAGATTTGGAATTTGGAAGATTTGGAAATTGAGAGATTTGGAATTTGGGAGATTTGGAAATTGAGAGATTTGAAATTTGGGAGATTTAGAATTTGTGAAATTTGGATTTTGGGAGATTTGGAATTTGGGAGATTTGGAATTTGGAAGATTTGGAAATTGAGAGATTTGGAATTTGGGAGATTGGGAAATTGAGAGATTTGAATTTGGGAACTTGGGAGATTTGGAAATTGAGAGATTTGAAATTTGGGAGATTTGGAATTTGTGAAATTTGGATTTTGGGAGATTTGGAATTTGGGAGATTTGGAATTTGGAAGATTTGGAAATTGAGAGATTTGGAGTTTGGGAGATTTGGAAATTGAGAGATTTGAAATTTGGGAGATTTGGAACTTGGGAGATTTGGAAATTGAGAGATTTGGAATTTGGAAGATTTGGAAATTGAGAGATTTGGAATTTGGGAGATTTGGAAATTGGAATGTTAGAAATTTAGGGTCTAGGTCAAGTTCCCAAAGAACTTAAAAGCCAAAAAGCTTACAAATTTCGAAGTTTATGAACACAATAATAAACCTTCCAATCACAAAATTAAGAAACTATCCTACCATCACTAAACCCTTATACCTCTCCTCGCTCTTCAAAAAACGGTCGCAATCTCGTGTTTATTTCCAACATCGAAATACTGGCAGACTTTATTGGATTTCTAGCCATTCGCGCATCAGCGTCCTCCACGGGCGTAGTTCGCCCTTAAAGCTTTCAATAACGCGTCGCGCAAGCTCCTCCTAATAAATTGTCGTTCGAGGAAACGCGAACGATCAAACCTACCCTTCTTCAGCCTCTGTCTGTTCGTCGAGGAACTTTAACCACACTCGACGCTTTCGTGCACTTTAGACCGCAAACTACGGATTTGTTTTATTGGATTGGCCCGATTTACGTAGCGCCAGGTTTATGGAGGATAAAACTTAGTCTCGTAGTATCGCGTGGTAGTCCCTTCCACAGGGACTAACTTCTGTCTTAGATATATCTAATTTAAGCAACGTTACGGTTCAATAAGGATGCGAAATTATGCTCGAGCTTTTACGGTGATTGTTTACGAGCCCGGTAAACGCACGCGATTAATCGAACATGTAATCGAGCTTACGAGGGTTTGCGCGATACGTGTGTGGATTAAGTTGAAAGACGAATAGCTCTCGATTTCTACAGGTTTTTATTTGGACTTTTTTTCTGAAAGGTTTGGAAATTGAATAATTTGTGACATTAGGGTTGGAATTTTTTAGTTTTAATTCTCTGTTAATTTTTGTGAAATGTAAATTTGTGGAATTGCTACTGGAGGATTGTTTAGAAAAAAGTATAGAAAGTCTGCAAACTGGAATTTTGACAATTCAGAAATTCTGATATATTGTTTCTAGAAATTCTTCCATAAGATTTTGTAATTTTTCGGAACTTGCATTTTAAAGAATGTAAATTTTCGTTGATGGAATTTTCGATGAATGAAATTTTAGAAAGTATTATTTTACTAACTTATTGTGAGTATGGTCACATTTCATCAGACAAGCTTCACTTAATATATCAATAACAAAAGTTTAAAATTTGACAACTAAAATTTTCCTTAAATTTTTCGATCAACAAGACGAGAACGCAAGTATGAAATTGTTAACAGTTAAAATTCCGATCCTAAAATAAAAATTAATTAAAATTGTTCAGTAATCATATTTCTAACGATGCAACCATAAAAAGAATTTCGACTTTCCCTGAAAAGAATGTTAAATACCTGAGATATTTTCCAAAAAAAAGATGTTCCGACAAATTACATTTTGCAATCTTTCGCGCATACCTTCGACACAGAACGACGGAGAAAGCAGATTTCCGCGGCCACAAAGTGCACCGTGTACCTTTATTGACTCGGCATACCTCGGTTACGTGAGAAAAAAGCTCAAGCCGCACACACAGAAGCTCAAAGAAGCGTTCTGTGTGAAATCATCCCCGCCGCGTAGCTTTGTTCGTTCTACATTTTTGTCTACTTTATACAACGACTGTCACGCCGGGGGAAAAAGAACGCTGCCTATACTTTCATCTCTCGTGCAAAGTTTTTATCTCTTTACGCGCTGTGCCGTTCGATACGGAAACGTTATTATTTCAATACTTCCTCGACGCTGAAAGCACGGAACGGTTACGCTTTTCTCCCCGTACGCAAACTGGCGAATTAAATACGTTTTAAGTAATGAAAGAAAATCTTTTAAAGAGCACTCGGTTCCTCCACTCAGACTTTTGATTTCAATGCGGGAGTCTTCGAATCTTTTAACGCTTTTTATCCGACGAAAATAATGCCAGGTTAATTGAAATGGGATACGAATTATTTTCGATGCTTTCAATTACCGAACTCGAAATTTAATCGTGGCTGATCGAAATAAGGTTGGACTACTTAAAATAGATTGGTGAATATAGCTTTTACTTTATCTCTGCATCGAGGATACAATTTGAAGCTGAAAGTTAAAATGGGACTGAACTTCTTGAAACAGACTGAACTATTTTTGCTGAAATTTGTTATTATTTGATAAGATTTGAAACTACTTAAAATTGGACGTAAAGAATTTCAAAATTCCTGACCATAGTAATGAACTACTTCAAATCTACAAGTAGCAATCTACTACTTCAATCTCAATTTTTAAACAACTGTGAATCTATCAGAAGTTTAAAATTTAATCTATAGTCACAACAATAAAATACTTCAAATAAATTGAAGTCTTTTGTTTCGCAACTTATCCCGAATCGAGATAATTATAAGTTTAAAATTGAATCTAGTGTTCAGCTCCCTTAATTATCGCTATCTTTAATAGGTAATCGACCAGAACAATGAACTACTTAAAATAAAACCTAAAAGAATAATAGCAATTTTTCGAATGGAAGAAGCTTCGAATTTACCTTGGCTGACCAAACTAATGTTGAACTACTTAAAGTCGAGGACCTAAAAGAATCGTGTCCCGTACTTAGTACTTAGAGTTCGATCATATATAACTACCGAAAACAACTATTCGAAATTGAGCTTAGAGGTTTTACAGTTTGAAAGACAGCTAAAACAGAGCTACACCAAAGTTTCCGTATTGTCAGAAGCTTTTAGAGAACGTTCGTTTCATAAGAACATTGTACACCGAATTGAACGACAAGTCGGAAGCTCGTTCACCACCCTAAACGATCAAACTGTCCCGCCCCGAGCCTCGTTCGCCAGAAAAGGGAGGGGGCGAGGAACGTTTCGCATTTACAGAATCACTCGACGTAAATCAACATGCTTTGTATCAAGTGTTCACGTTGATTGCGCCGTGAGGTCCGCGACAGAACGAAAGGAAGCATCCAATCCGTGAGAAGACTGCGTCAGAGAGGTTGCAAATGGAAGCAGCCAAGCCTACCTCGTTATCCAGCAATTAGTATATGCACGAACGTGCCTTCGAATTCAATCTGTACGTTCCCTTCGGTTGGCCCTTGAAAACGTCCTCGAGTATTCCTTTCAAACGCGGAACGTAATTAAAGCCGACGAGCCAACGTGAATCCTGGATGTACCGATGTCAAGAATCGCGACAAAAAAGCTCAGAAACGTGCATTCAATTAATCGACAAGATCGAGTGTTCGAAAGTGGGCCAGGAAGGTGTAGGATCAACGAGAGGGTCCTTCTGAATGGAATCCTCGGACGTCACGAAGGATCATGGTCAGAATCGAGCATCACCACCCCCTTCCCGTTACGCGAAGAAGCTCCGTAAGGCGCGTCCTGAGGGTGCGAATCGTTTCCGGGATAAAAGGAAGGAACGGTACCCCCTATGAAGAAGAAGAGAAATCGTCGGGGCTCTGCGCCCTCTTCCTGTGCCCCCGCATCCTGTCCCACCTCCTCCTCTTCCCGCGTTCCCTGCTCAGACTGGCCTTTTTCTCCCTCCCCGTGCTCTTCGTCGCCTACTTCGCCGCACTATGTCACACTGTCCACCGTGCACATTTGATCGAACGAGAAAGACCCACTCTGCCCTCGGTCAAGTCAGAGCGGGCCAGTGCTCCTCTTAGACTTCCTCAGTCCACCGATCGTGGCTGCCACCTCATGGTTCGACGTTTTGTTTCTTCTTCCTCTCGGTTTTATTTATTATTGTTGTCCACGGTGCGACGACGTAACGTCTGTGCGATTCACGCGTCAACCTCGTCGGCGAACCTAAACGCGGCACGGTGGAATGAATCGCGGGAAATTTTCGTCCTGGCCGCGGCGCCGACGGATGCCGGGCTACTGCAGTCGGTGGAGCTTTTGGGCGAGCTTATTTTCCAGCGACGACAGCGCCACAGTGGCATCTGGTGGCATCGACCGCCGCCGACGCCGTCCACGACGCCGACGACGCTCGCGCCAGCCATCCAGGGCGTCCCCTGTGCAGCCTGAGCCTCACCTTCTCTCCGCTTTTCTGTTCCCTGCCTTTTCGTCTTATGTTCTCCCTCCTTTTCTTCGCTTAACGTCTTTAACCCCGTGCATCGCCGGTTCTGCAATATTTTAAATTATCTCCGAAAACGAGCACCTCCGTTCATAAACGGTTTACCCTTAAACTTAACGATCACAGGGTTGAGGTTCAAAATTAACTGGCTGTGCACTTGCTTATTTATTCGAAATTTGAAAGCATGTAAGCTGCATAATTTTTAGGTTGTATTAGTAATTCTATTATTAGCTATTCGAAAAGGAAAGGTTTCAGGGGTACATTAAATTTATTCGTATAAATTCTTTTCTGTAAAAATTGTGTTTGATCATTTTACTTGGAAAATTCATTTACGTTAAGGAAGATCATAGGTTGAAGGATTTTATCAATTTTTTTTAATAATATTGCTAATATTACTGTTGATCGGTGTCTTTTATGATATTGTTATTTGTAGATGTACTTATGTATGTAGATGTATATATAAATGTATTTATATGGATTATCATAATCACCCAAGGTTTCATAAGCGAGTTTCGTAAAGAAATATTAACAGATTACACCACATTTTGATGGTCATAAAATTGTTCTTCTCAAAAGTTTATTTTGAGGCTCACTCTCTTTTTTATGAACACAAACAGTCCTATTTGTGGCAGCCATATTTATTTCCACCTTTCCACATCAGAAGAACAGAAACCCGTACAAGGTAAAAATAAAATAAATACATTTACTGCAACAATTCGGTGAAAATTCGGGCAAGAGGTTGTCGAAAGTCCGATTGGATCGATCGTAGTAAAGGATGGTAATAAGATTGAAGTGCGAGGTAAGAAGTGTTTTCCCAACTCGTCGAGAATGCTTGCCGAAACTTTATTGCTTCGGAAAGTTTCGCGATTCCGAGAAAAGTATTCGCTGTTCGGATGATTCAACGTGGATCCTTCGCAGCTCTAATCGCGATCATTCGAAATGAATCATTCGACTACACCCGCGACGAACTCGTTCGGTTCGAGGGGAATTGAGAAGGTCGCGCAGTTGCACCGTCTCGTGGAATTTCGGTTATGTTGCTATTTATATAGCGGGGTAGGTTCAATTCGGCTGATGCTGGAAATTAGCCAGGGAATTTTAATAGACGTCCTACGTTTAAGGTCGCATCACGATGTATTTATTGATACCTACGATTTCTTGTTAATTTACGTAATATACTGCGGTGAATTGATCGAGGACACACGCAATGCTGAGGAAATACTGTTGAAAAGAGATCGATCGAAAGGGACGGTATTTTTATAAGCATTATACATGTCAACCGTCTAATGATGGATTATTATTGATTAATGGACTTACGCACCTAATTCATTTGGTTAGGAATCTAACTTAATCATTTTGCAAGTGGTCATTTTTCATATGGAACACTTTTGAAAACGCATTTTTTTAACTATACCTTTTGTGAAAATCTTGTACTTATACTCTATGTAACAATATTCTCTAATAGCAATATTCTCTAATACCTAATGGATATTATGACTAGACCTTGATAATACACTTGTATTATAGCTCTTGTATAAATAACTCATTCCCATAAAAGTTAAATGACAAAAATAATACAAAACGAAAATAACAAAACATATCAATGATCACGAAGAAATTGAAAATAACATACAATACACATTATTTAACAGACCATACAAAAAATATGGTCCACAAAATTCGTTCGATAACAGAATTCCCTCCACAAAGAATCACCATGAGTTGCAAGAGCGGTTCTCCAGAACACGCGTGCAGCCTCCAGGGTTTCCCTAATGACCCGCTGCTGATGCAGCCCTGGAGCTTCGGCACAGAAACCAATAAGAACCAGTCTCGCCGGAGTTTGGAACTGTTGTAAATCGCTGGAACGAGATTAGGCCGAACGATGTTCGAGACGACCTAGAGAAATTAGAGGAGTTCGTCCGGCTCTATTAATCGATCCCTATGAGAAGCGTACCACCAGTTTGGAGATTCATGATGTATGGTCTGGGTGCTGCCTTTCACATTGTCGAACTTTTTCACTTTGGAACGTTGTGGTTTTGGAATTGAAGGGTTCTGGGACTTTAGTTAGATTCGGAATATTGGCAGTTTCGAATGGGGTGAGTTTGGGAGATCTGGGGAGACTTTGAGATGGTACGTTTTTGGGAGGTTGAGAAATTTGAAGTGGTAGTTTGGTAGGGTGGAACATTAGGAGAGTGGGACATTGGAAGGTTAGGAGTTTGAGAGATGGGAACATTGCACGGTGAGGACTTTGAGAGATGGGGACGTCGCAAGGTTGGGACTTTGGGAGATGGAGACATTGCAAGTTTGGGACTTTGGGAGATGGGGACATTGCAAAGTTGGGGCTTTAGGAGATGGGGACATTGCAAGGTTGGGATTTTGGGAAATGGGGACACTGCAAGGTTGGGACTTTGGGAGATGGGGACATTAGAAGGTTGGGGATTTAGAAGATGGGGACATTGCAAGGTTGGGACTTTGGGAGATGGGGACATTAGAAGTTTGGAATTTTGGGAGATGGGGACGCTACAAGGTTGGGGCTTTAAGAAATGGGGACATTGCAAGGTTGGGACTTTGGAAGGTGGAGACATTAGAAGGTTGGGACTTTGGAAGATGGGATCATTGCAAGGATGGAACTTTAGAAGAGTGGGACTTAGGAAGATTGGCACTTTGTGAGCTTGGGACATTGGAACATTGGGATTTTGTGAGATCAGAACTTTGGAGGATTGGGATATTGCAAGGATGGAATTTTGAAAGATTTGGACTTTGCAAAATTGGCACTTTGTGAGCTTGGGATATTGGAAGATTGGGATTTTGTGAGATTAGGACTTTGGAGGATTGGGACATTGGATGATTGGAGTTTGGAGAAATTAATACTTTGGAGGATTGGGACATTGCAAGGATGGGACTTTGGAAGAGTGGGATTTTGAAAGATTTGGACTTTGCAAGATTGGCACTGTGTGAGCTTAGGATATTGGAAGATTGGGATTTTGTGAAATTAGGACTTTGGCAGATTGAGACATTGGATGATTGGAGTTTGGAGAAATTAATACTTTGGAAGGTTGGTACTCCTAGAGATTTGAAATTTGGACGATTAGAATTTTGAGAGATAGAATTTTGAAGAAGTTGAGACTTTGAGAGTTTGGAATTTCAAAAATAGAATTTTGGGAGATTTGAAATTTGAGAGTAGGACTTTGAGAAATTGAGACCTTAAAAAACAGAAATCTGGGAAAATTAAAAACTTGATTCGAATTTTAAGAAATGCGAATCATTCTGAACATAAAGTTTTTACCTCCAAAACATTAAAACTTCAGAATATTAAAACCACAAACCAACCAGAATGAAACTCGTGATTCAACTCTGAACGTCTCTAAATTTTGACCCAACAAAAATTTTTCCAAACTATTCGTTTCATTAACGAATGATTACCCGAAACGATAATTAACAAAATACGTGAAAAGGTAAGGAAAGTTTGTTTCTGGGACGCGAAAAAGCAGGAGTAATGTGAATTTCCGGGAATCATCAGTTTTCCAACTGGGAAGATTATTTCGTGCGGTTAAATGTAACCACCCGTTCGCAACACGCCAATCGTATCTAGCGTGCAAACGCGTTGCAATGTCCATTTCCGGTTGCTGATGAACAGTTTCATCGATTATAACGATTGCTTGCGTAGGCCACTGTCGCTCACTGCGGGATAAATAGTGTAAGATCCATTAGGAGGGATGATACTCTCTCTGGATTATTATGCTTCGCCATGTTCTGTCGCGTTTGCGTTTTGAATTATGCGCGAGCAATGAGTTGTACCGGAAATGGATATTCCGGAGGTGTACTGCTTTCGAAAATTATAAAGTTTCAAAATTTAGTAATTTAACACTAAACATAGCTACACTTACTCTGAAATTAAAAAGGAAGTTGAAAAATTTCATAATTTAACACCAACCCTACCTACACTTACCCTGAAATTAAAAATGAATTTGCAAAATAAATAAGCAAATTATAAAACATAAATTAATATACATATTTACCTTCATGAAGATTAACAGAGATTCTAAAGAAATTGTTTATAAAAATTTTGTGAGTTAAAATGAAAAACTTGTAAAAGGGTCATTTCAACTTTTTGATAGTTTTAGTGTTAAACATTCAAAAATTCAAATTTTAGTACCTAAATGTATCGAAGTTCAAAGTGGAAATAAAAGGAGACAAAATATTCGAAAACATTAAACTTCATTTCTAAAATATTAACATATAAAAATTAGACACTGAGGGGTTCTGTAAGTGTGAAATGTCAAAGTTCAAAATAACGAAAATTGAAGAGTTACAAGCTTTAACGATTTTAAAACTGAAATGATCCAAAATTCTGAAATATCGAAATACTGAGATGTCAAAATATGGAAGTTAGAAAATTCCGAGGTGCT